CCTGCATTACTTATTCCTGCATAACTAATACATACATAACTAATACATGCATAACTAATACATCTATAACTAATACATGCATAACTCTAACCGGCAACCAAACGACCCATTAAGGTATATCTTGTGGTATTATTAATTTAAAAAAGATTTGTATATTTGGTGTTATCGCAAGTAAAAAATTTAATATCAAATTATTTTTAAATATAAAAAGATAATATTACGTAGAGTAAAAGGACAGCTCGGTACACAAAGCATCTCGCATTCCTACAGTATCCGAGAAGGGTCGTACCCCAAAGAGTATATAATGTAGACAAATTATCCTGATACAAACATTAGTGAAAGAGGGTCCGAGGAAGGGCCACACCCTAAAATATATATTTATATGCGTCACCTGATGCAAGCATTAGTGACTACTTCCATGATTCAAATACAACTTTATCGTTACTCCAAACGTGCCTTTTCCATCACGTAACATTAGTTAGAGTAACATGTTAAATTCCATTGTAAAAATCAATTGCCATAAGAAAATTGTTTATATTTTTATCAAACTTCTAGAAAGTTGACCGGTCAGAATCTCCCCACGTGTCATCTTTCTTTATTCTTCCATAAATGCTCATCCAAACAAGAGAAGGAATCTCATTAACACCGCCGCAGAAGCACCACCAAAACGACGACGTTCCCAAATATGCCAGCCGGAGAATACCGCAACGCCTCACCGGCGACACCACATCCACCAACAGACACGGCGGAAGAATCCACATGGCTATGGACACAAATCAAAGCTGAAGCTCGGCGCGACGCCGAAGCCGAGCCGGCACTAGCAAGCTACTTATACTCGACTATACTCTCACACTCTTCGCTCGAGCGTTCGCTCTCTTTTCATTTGGGAAACAAGCTTTGTTCTTCCACGCTCTTATCCACACTCCTTTATGATCTGTTTCTCAATACTTTCTCCAATGATCCCGAGCTACGCGCCGCCGCTTCCGCTGACCTACTCGCCGCTCGCTACCGTGACCCTGCTTGTGTTTCCTTCTCTCACTGTTTGCTTAACTACAAAGGTTTCCTTGCTTGTCAGGTCAGTAATTATTTTTTCACCTTATGGATTTTATATATGATGCTGTAAATTTGGCTCTTCAAGAAAGATTGGGACTTTTGTGAAAGTTTTCTGGAAAGAGAGGGACTTTTGAGTAAGAAAAGATGAATTTTTGGGGGATTTGGAAGTGGAGATGCATTATACTCCTCCAATTTATGAGTCAAAATTTGAATAGACAGGAAGTTTAAGAAACAAGTAGTAAGAGTTTTATGACTGGAAACTTATAATGTTGGACATACCAAACATTTGTGAGTCTATAAAAGCTTGTATTAAGGGTAAAATGAAAAGTTTAAGTTAATAATCTGCTTCCAAATTTTGAAGGCATCATTCTTTTGGAAAGGAGGGAATATGAAAATTTTACTCCATTATAGTGATATTGTAAAATTGTCTCTTTATTAAAGATGGGGAATTTTGTGAAACTTTGGAAAGATGGGGACTTTTTAATAAGAAAAGATGGTTTGTCGGTCGGGAAATTTCGAAGTTGAGATGCATTATGTCAAATTTGAGGTTGAAGTTGTTGAAGGAGCCTGTAAAGTGGAGATTCAAAATCTTCTAATGGACTGGCCTTGAGAAGTTAATACTGCATAAAAATTTGGCTTAGGGTGTGAGAAGTATGTCTATCTACTTGAATGTGAGGATGATATATGAAACTTTAAGTTTTGGATCTTGCATTATTCAAGCCTTAGTTGTTAGTGTACTACTATGTTGTAACAATAGGCACATATGATCTTTATGACAAGAACAAGAGGCATACTTGTTAAGTTGTTAAAGTTGGAAAGATGGTAATCTTTTTATTATAATTAATAATAGTGGTGTTCGACCAGTTTGTGCGCGCCTTGACTATTCCACAGGACATCATCTTCCCATCAGCACAAGGTAACTCTACTTACCAAGCTTAGACGGATGGAAAAAAAATTTAATCTTTCATTTGAAATCTTCATAAAACAGGGGAAGTGCATCTTGTAGCATTGGATTAAGATGGGGAAAGTGTGTTGTTACGTTGAAGTCTATGAACCACTTAATGTGGCCAAATTCCCGTGCACTCCTGAAGTCCTCACTTGCGCACATATGTGGATGTGGATGTGGATGAATGTATTTGTTTTTTTCTTTTACTTTTCATTATAGTGTTTTTAACTATGATTTGCCAATTTGGCTATCAGTAGACAGCGAGATATATTATGTACTTTGGACAATTCATCATATTCTAAGTTGAGATGGAAAAGTAAACATTTCTTTTCGTTAACAAACTTTGAGATACTGTTTTATTTTTGTTTGTTGAAATGAGTAGTCATTGGCATCTTGTGGAAATCTTAATAGTGATAGATAACTTTGTGTTTCTTCCCCTTTTTGAGAACAAGTCATGTGGCTTTGCTTTTCTCTTCATACTAGTGTATTGTAGTACTAAAAAGGTAGTTCTGTATTATTCAGGCGCATCGAGTAGCCCACAAGCTTTGGACTCAATCCCGAAGGCCACTTGCACTTGCACTTCAATCTCGAATCTCTGATGTTTTTGCTGTTGACATCCATCCAGCTGCTAAAATCGGAAAAGGTATCCTCTTTGATCATGCAACAGGAGTGGTGGTTGGCGAGACTGCAGTTATTGGAAACAACGTGTCAATTCTTCACCATGTAACCTTAGGAGGGACTGGTAAGATTGGTGGTGACCGGCACCCTAAGATTGGGGATGGTGTGCTCATAGGTGCAGGTGCCACGATATTGGGCAACGTGCGGATTGGTGAGGGGGCCAAGATTGGTGCTGGATCAGTGGTATTGATTGATGTGCCACCGCGGACAACTGCAGTAGGGAATCCAGCAAGGTTGGTTGGAGGGAAGGAACAACCAACTAAGCATGAGGAATGTCCCGGAGAGAGTATGGATCATACATCTTTCATTTCTGAATGGTCTGATTACATCATATGACTTGCATACCTCATGTATGCTATATCTGCAAAATGAACAAGAAGTCGTCTCCGAACCTAGAAGAGAGGACAAAGGTTCAATCTTAACGCTACTGACTGTTAAACATGCTCTTTGTGCTAGTCCAACAGTCCAGAGTGCAAAGAACTTTTATCCATCTTTTTTTTTCAATTAGTCTTTCTGTTTTTCTACATTTAAGGCTCTCGTTTTTATGCAGAGATTTCTGCTTGGAGTCGCCTTACAGCAAGTTCCCTTTGATGGCACAAATATATAGTATGTATTATGAGTTCAGTATCTACTCGTTGCTGGTCTTCCTAGGCTTTAAAAACTGGTGAAAGCAACTGTCCGTCTGAGTACAGTCCTATTATTACTGTTGTCATTATTGCTTCATTATTATGTAATTGTATAATCACAAGGTATCTATATGTTGTCTGATATTTCTAAATTAAGGTTGATTTCAGAACCCCAGTCCTGCCGTAACACTATTCGGTGTGGATTTATTTAGATTTTGATAATTTTTAGTTTATGTAGTTTACATAATCCACGAAAAATAATGTTAAAATGGGTATATTAAAGCAAATGAATTATCCATGTCCGAGAGCCGTTATCTATATTTGTGGACATTTGTGCGTCTACATGGAGCTCTTGATTTTGTTGAAAACATGCCCATTGAGCTTATAAACCAAGTATGAGAGGCCATAATAAATTTGGCATGAATTCCATGGGGGAACAAGAGTTGCCACGATTCTAAAGATAAATAAAATAGATGATTATAAGGAATCAACGACTCTCTCTTCTTAAACGAACTATATCCTCCACATTTAATCAGTAATTGGTTGATTATCCATCCTTGAGCATCTTAGTTGATGGGAACAATCTTTATTGTTTGTGGGCGTTCCCAGGCGCTATCAAATGGGGGTCTTTACTTTGCATATTATACTTATCAGCTTGACTTCGTTCTGAACAAAGGAGGCATTCTGGTGGACGTATGTGTAGGGAGGCTGATGGGTGCATAAGCTAAAAGCCTAAAAGACTACGACTACGTGACAAGCTGGAAGCGACTCGCTTCTACAAAGAAATTGAAAGGCTTGAGCGGGAAAATATGGGATGCAGATATGCAGGCCACATAACGGTCACACCTGGTCATAGACATATCATCATCCAACTAGTCTTCAAACAAAGTGATTTCATAATCATAAAAATAAAAAAAAAAATTAAAAAAAAAAAAAAAAAAAAAAAATTTTGGGGTACAGTAATAGAAAGTCTTAGGATCATTACGAACTTGAAGATCTATGGTGATAGCAACCATCAGATAAAAATAATGTAACAGATTGTTGAGGGAGAGTTCATTGCCAGAGACAGAAAATGGTTTCATTATTTGAGAGATGGTAGTGCTACTGCAAAGACTATTGTTAAGTCCATAAGTCTAGCTTTAAGCTATTCCTACACATTTCACAGTAGAATTAACTACATGTAACTAATTGGTGTCTCAATGACTTGGAATCCTGTTTACAGGAGGTTATCACAATTAAAAAACAATTCCACTATACCTAAAATTTTCTACTTCCATGCTATTGGCTCTACATATGGATCATGTTTTATTATCAAAAAAAAAAAGAAAAGGACAACCCGGTGCAAAAAGCATCTCGCGTTCACGCAAGGTCCGGGGAAGAGCCACACCCCAAGGGAGTGTGCTGTAGGCAGCGTACCCTGATGCAAGCATCATAGGCTGATTCCATGGTTTGAATCCGTAACCTATAGGTCATAGGAGACAACTTAACCGTTGCTCCAAGACCGTGATCATGTTTTATTATCAATGAGAACTAAAAAGAGTTGTACTTAAACAACAGCAGTTCTCTTGGTTCTACTATGAATACATCACAAGAATTAATATTAAGAGTAACATGTAGTATTTCTAAAAAGCTTAGGTCATTAAACTTTTCTATCACAGCATAAGATGCCAGAATGAGGCATTAGTTTACAACAAATTAATATACACCGCTGCAACATGACCTCGGATACAGATGATTGATACAGAGGATTTATAGCCAACCCAAACCAATCTGGGATTAAGGCGTTGATTGATTAAACCTCAGTGTATATACTGAATGCCCGGATCATACGTAAATTCAGGAGGAACTTGCCGAGTTGACAATTTATTGTAATGAAGAATCATGCCTATGTTAAAGAATGGAATTATACAAACTTCAGCAGCCCCCCAAGATGGCGCGTTTGCCAAAATCGAACTTTGGCAATTTCTGAGCCCAAGGACAATTTGTTAAGATTGTCAAGACTGCATTGTGGATGATTGATTATTTCTGCTACTAGTGACAACTTCTACAACAGCATCATCTCACGATGGTACTCTCAGATACGCTTTCATCATATCATAAACTGTAAACCCAATCGCGACAGATGGCACAACCTTATTTTCAAACACAGTGTAGTCATCAGTTTAGACAGTTACCACAATAGATACTAAAAAGGCAATAAGGGTCAGATGATGTATCGATATGTTTGTACCTTCAGATAGTTGAGGCTAAGCCCAGAAAATAGTTGTTTCCATCCGTGTCTTTGCACAATCATAACAAGAGTATCATATGTTCCTTTCATTTCATGGCTGTTTGATGCTGAGAGTCGCTGAACCTGAAAAGTTCATGCAATCTCTATCATTCCATTGGCACAAAAAAAAATCTTCAACGTCTTCATGTGACCTATAGGTCACAGGTTCGAGCCATGGAATCAGCCACTGATGCAAGCATCAAGGTAGGCTGCCTACATCATACCCCCTTGGGATGCGGCCCTTCCCTGGACCCTGCGTGAATGCGGGATGCTTTGTGCACCAGGCTGCCTTTTTCTATACAATCTCACTAAAATTACCTGCATTTGCCGCCTGACAACGTCTAAAGGATAAGTGAAAGTTTGGCCTAGAAGTCCTGCAACAGATCCACATGCTAGTTTTGTGGCGATATCCTTCTTGCGCTCCTTAGGGACATGGCTTTTCATTTTCTCGTAGAAGTAAAATTTCAACCCGGCATATGGAAAGATTCCATAAAGTGACGGAGCTGAAACGCGACATGCAATATTACCTTATAAGACTAGCTAATAAACGTAAATACAAAGTATGGTACGGCAATGCACTTACCAACACCACGATATAGGCCTTTAATTCCAGCCTCCTTGTATGTCTTGGAAAAACAGTCCTTTATTCCTTTGTAAACTTGTTCACCAGTAACGAGCCCTTGTACGTTTAAGTTTTGAGATCCAACTACCTAGCTGATCATATGCAAATCAGTCCTCAGTTGATCGTGGAACAGTAAAGCAAATTCAACTCAATTTTATTAGACTAACAAAGTCAAGCTCGAAAGGGCAGACCGGTGCACAAAGCATTCTGCATTCACGCAGGGTTCGGGGAAGGGCCACAAGGGGGTGTGATGGAGGCACCCTACCCTGATGCAAGCATCACTGGCTGATTCCATGGCTCGAACCCGTGACTTATAGATCACACGGAGACAACTTGACCGTTACTCCAAGGTTACCCTTCAAAGTCAAGCTCGAAAGAAGTTGGAATTAATCAAGACGCCAACTTTTCAGCTCTGCTTTCAGAGGGAGGAGATATCGGGTGATAGGGAGACAGACAAAGTGATTTCAGATGGGAAAACAATGAAAGAGTATGTCTTTATGTTTCTCACCTGGTAAGCCAATTTCGTTCGAACTAAATCAAGTGGATAAGTAAAAAGTACTGCAGTTCCACCAGCAAATGATCCGGCTATGAGATCTAAAGTTGGACCGGTCCCAACTCCAGGAATTCCATTTACAATCCAGCGGCGGTACTCTTCATAGGCCATGTAGTGCAGTGCTGCATATGGGACGATGCGAGCAACACTAGCTCCATTTCCCCTGAAAGACGAATTCCAAAAATACATTTAAACTTAAGACGAAGTTATCTAGACGGTTCTTTTTTGAAGACAGTTAAATTGACGAACAAATACTGCATCTGCACCTGAAAAAACCAGGAGCTCCTTCTGT